TAGGTACTCATATATTACATCAATTTTGTGTCTGATGATGGCCTGTGGCCGAAACTAGTAACACGTCGCTTATTAAATGATTTTGTGGTCGACAGACTTTGGGATTTTTAATTGTTTTTTCTTTAAAGTTACTGCAACATTTTATGGGAATAATTCCTATATCCGTTCTGTGTTATCATAGAAACTAGAACAAGTAGTAGTTATTCAGCAGCGGTGTTTTTATACAAGTTTGAAAATTGAATAAGCTGCCATAACTACAAGTCACCTGAAAATTCACTCCATCTACGGTAGCAAATGAACACATCTGTCCCCTATTTATTGCAGATATCGTAATAACGGTTATCAGATTTCCAATTATGATAACTCAAGTTTTCTCTCAGTGCAACCCTGTAGAGACTATAGACTTTGATTTAAATTATGTTCTAACGGTCCTCTCATTCTGAATAATTATCAATAATAATGAAGCTGGAATACTAAAGGTATATACAAAAATTTATATAATTCAACGATAAGTACCTACCTACTTGAAATCGAAAAAAAAACACTATACAGAAGGATAAAACTGTCAATAAATATCATGAATAATATATCATAATGTATTTTTTATGCTATTTCTGTTCCAGAGCATAAATGATAATCTAGTTATTGAACTCACCAACCTAATTTCTTGGGCACTAAGATTTTCCATTCATCAGTTGATTCGTTCTGAACATCTCCGCCGGAACGAGATACAAATTATTCAATAATTATAATTATGTATGAACTAATCTACAGCTATCATAATTTATCTTTTCTCATAACAGTCGGGTTTCTTGCACTCAAGTTAAAAAAATACGAGTGAATAAAATAATTTTCTTGCAATGTATATGTCGGCGTCAAACAGTGAAATCCTTCATTCTCTGGAATGTCTACTCATTCCACGTATTGCCGGCAAACAGCGTAACTCTAAATTTCGTACACCGTTTGCCTGATAGTTTCAGGCATTTCCTGTAATGGCGGAAGGAAGGTTCATTTAGACCAAGTCAGCTTAGGCTGTTCTCGCAAGTAATTTTCTGAAAAATATACTTTTTAGGAAGGAGGTTCATTTAGGCGGAAATATAGTCTACCTTCTTATGCATATGCAGAAAGGATATTTTCCTTCCTCAACCGTCCGGCAAACAGAGTAACGGCTGAAAATGGAAGTTACGCTCTTTGCCGACAATACGTGAAATGATTAGGCATTTCAGGGAATGACGGACTTAACTGTTGGACGCCGACATATACAAACCGGGTGTGAACCAGTCTATTAGACAAGTCATAACTTTAAAATATTAGGTGTATCGAAATAAGATTTGGTATGGGTATACATGGTATGTATATAAAGATGAGAGTTTTCCACATACTTCTTACTTTCTGCAGAATTGGTACTGGTAGGTACTGGTGTGCAACTCGTGCGCGAAATACTTTTGTTATATCTACTATCTTTGTAACTCGGCTGCGCCTCGTTAAAAAAATCAGTTCTCGATCACCAAAGTAGCATTTCGCGTACTAGATACAAAAATAACTATTTTAGCCGTTAAGTTTACATTACATTTTTCTGCAACCGACACAAAAGTCGTCAATTTTGATACCAAAATAGCTCTTGAATTGAAGTTTCTTATACTGGCACAAAAATAGGTATGTTGCTAGGCAACATATATTTAGTTCCTAGGAGCTAAAGTTGGACTTTAGTTCCTAGGAGCTAAAGTCGAACTTTGATCAGGGAAGCCTTCAAGATTCACATATACTTGCTTGATCTGTATTTCATTCGTTATTCTCGGGATGGATAACTTGTTTTTTAATAAGCAACAGTTTTTTGCCTCAAACAACGATATTGTTTACCAATATTTGATAATTGAGTCAAAACACAGTGTACTATGGAGATGAATAAATAATCGCTATCATTATTGTTGATATGCTCACTAACCTAACATTTTCCACGTCTTGTTCCTATGCCTGGCACTGGCGCGGTATTTGCCATTAAAGCACCTGGTCCATACACAAATATGTCACTCTGTGGTTGTTTTTATATTGAAACTACAATTCGAACATTCTTGAGAATTGAATAAACCTGCTAATGCAGGTAAAATATTCTCACCACACGGATTTTGCATTGTTTCTGATTTGTTGCATTGCATACATATGGCACGGCATTGGTGGTTACTTCAGATATTTATTTCAGTTAATGGGCGTGTACACCTTAGTAAAACTTTCAAGTCAAACCATGTTTATAATGATCTTTTATACATAAATAATAGTACCTTCTGAAAACGGACCCTCTTATGACGTAGAAACCTCATCTCGCCTTGCATCTCGCCATAGTTAAATGAAAATACCAAACGCCCGACGGAGACTGAGGCAACTGATATATTAATTCTTTCAACTGTGATCTCGCGCTAATTCACTCTATCAGAAATCATGTATCATTCATCTCTGTCTGGAATAGTCTTGTTTCAGTACTAGGGTTTTGACGTCACATCATCGTCTCGTTTTCAGAGGTCCGAAAAGTCGGGGATTTCAATAATTTTTTATAAAACGTAGGGAGCTCACAACAAGAAACGTTTTGCGGTGGTGAGCTAGTTTGGGTGAGTTCTATCGAATTATGAAATATTTTTTTTTTGTGATATTAGCCCATTGTGTCGGTTGCAGAAAAAATACCATATTTTATTCGGATCAAAAGTGACTTTGTTTGACTCGCAAATGCAAAATTCGCTTGTGAAACAAAGTGTCACTTTTGATCCTAATAAAACAATCTACTATTTTTGATTGGCGTGAACTTCAGGTATACATTTTGTAGTTGGTACAACTTTTTGTTATTTCAGATACTTAACAAAGGGTTTTGGCACCCAGCATGCGCCAATACTTTCACTCTTTATCAAAACATTACTGACAATTATTGAGACAGTTCATCAGCATTTTTGTACCAGACAATGTAAAATGTTTTGGTAAATAAATAATTAGGTATTTATCCACACATTGCAATAGAACTCAAGGGCGGCTGGTAGACACGAGTCGGTCTTGCGATTTTATTTTTATTTTTAACATGAGGATAAATAAACAATCTAGGAATAGACTAATTAATTTCGGATGGAAATTACAGCTTCTAGATCTAGGACAGTTTAGGAATATTATTGAAATAACATGATATAAAACAGCACGTGTGATAATTATTGATATATTTATACTCCAACAAACTGAAGAAAGTTAAAAAATAGGTAGTTATTTTTATAACAATTAAGTTTTCACGAACTTTGGCTACTTTTTGTGAAACTCACGGTAAACCAAATTCTAATAGCTCGCAGAAAATGCAGCAATTTCAATCAAAAAGTAAAAACTGTATTTTATACACCTTGTTCACGTAGCATTCAGTGGCGTAGTCAGTTTTTTATAAATGAGATGTCATTATTGTAATTTGACCCGAAGTTGTTTTTTTCGGGATAGAGAAGGCTTCGCCAACCAGATGACATTTTTCATAGAACAAAGCAAATAAGATATTCCTTCTTTTTTGGCATGGATTGAATTTTTTCTTTTTCGGAATGGAATTCATCGTTTGAATATGTCTTAAAGTATCATTTCTCATAATACCAGTGGCGGCTCCTCAGAGGAGGCAACGGAGCCTGAGCCTCCTCAGAGATTCTCCCCAAACTGATATTATCTATACTTTCTCATTAAAAGGACACCAAAATACATGGATTTTGATTTTATTACCTGTTTTTAGGTAAATATTTTTGAATTGGCAACAGTGCTTGCTCACGCATCACACGTTGAAGTCTGCAAATCACGCGTAATAGTTTATTATGTAACAAGTGTTATAAACGTCCTTTTAGTAACGAGTATTTTAAGCACGAGCGGAGCAGAGCGGTAAATCACAGATCGTCAATCCGTGATTAATCGATCATTTAGCGTGGTACATATCCGTACGCTAAATGCCATTTAAGTTATGTGAGTAGAAAGGATATTTAACTTGGCACATCAATAGGAGGCTAGACTCCTTCACAATGCGAAACCCACGCGCGCAATGCAAATGCCCGAATACGCCCGAATAGCACGTGTTTGTCGCGTCGCGAATTGCGGGGAATCCAGCGCGAGTGCATTGTTTATGTTCATGTTAGGTTAATGGTTAGGGGCTCTATAAATTTCTGAAAAATGAGTATTTTAAACGATTGCGATTTAGTGGAATACTTTTTGGTGAACTCATCGAGTGATTTGTCTTATGAAGATAAATTGATTGTGAAAAACAAACGTCCGACACCGGAATTAAAAAATCTGATTGTAACAGGTAACAAACAAAATCGTTCGTTCAATTCTGATAATTATAAAAAATATATCTGGGTGACGGGATCTGAGGTAAGGAATAAGCTATTTTGTTGGTACTGCGTATTATTTTCAATCGATAAGTCATCATGTTGGGGGCGATTAGGATATAATAATTTGAAAAATTTGCCTCCCGGATTGGATAGGTACTGCAAATCACAGGAACACATCTCTTCAAGTATTAAGTTCAGGTAAACTGGTGAACAGAATGTCATTAAAGCTATATTGATTTGGGTGAGTCGTAGAGAGTTGTTTTTCAAAATAAATTTCATATCATTCAGCCTCCTCTGTCAAGAAAGTCACGAATATCGTTCAGGAGGAAATTCTACAGATAAAAAAAAGAAGAAGTGTTCATAAGATGTGTTCGAAAATGCTTTCTTATAGGGCATTATATAGCCCTTTGAAGGTATAGGTTGCTCAGTTATATTTGATTATCTTTGTCATCATTGATCCTAGAATCACGAAGCTTTTTGTACCTAAGAGTAATTTGATCTCATAGATCTATGATCTCATCAATCGTTTCGCAAATTTTGCTTTCGCTCGGCTTCGCTAGCCGCTCCGCCTAGCAAATGCTAAATTCGCTTGTCAAACAAAGTGTCACTTTTGATCCTAATAAAACAATCTACTATTATTTATTTCCTCAAAATACCAAATTATTTTAAGCTCACCTGTTGATGTACCAACCGTTGAATAATCAAGGCTATGAAGTAATTTGATCATTTTATATGATTCCAGATATTTTTAGTAATAAATAATTATCAACTCTACACGTGTCGTTTCAAAACAATAACAGTGTATTATGAACTCCAGACGTTGGTGATAATATCAAAATTCAACATACAATGTCCATGAGAATAATCAGAAAAATATACTGTCGTTTTCATCATCAAGTAACTGTATACAGGGTGTCTCAGGTTTAACTCGCCTGACTTTGACAATCGATAGCAAAAATTAAAATATTATACACCTATTTATGTTTTGTCGTGGATAAACTTGTTTCCATCATACGGGGTGTTGAAGTTTGCATACATTTTTTGTTTTATTTTTTATCTCTGTTGAAACAAATCCTAGCGATATGAAATTCGGTGAGCACTTTTCTATCGGCAATATAAACAGTCCTAATCAATTAAAGGGGACAGCTACACTGGGTGCTTTTTTTATTTCCACTCTTATGGAACCCAACCGATATTTTCCATTGGGACGCTAATGGTAAATTATAGCTGATGAAAAAATATCCTCATTTATTCACCTTACTATCTGCGCTTCTTTTGTTTTGATATTCTCCTTAGTTTCCTTGTTGTTTTAAATAATGTTATACTATGCATAACAGTTTTTTAACCTGAATGTTTATCTTACATCATATTATCGTTCGAATTGAATATTGAATGGATCACGCACACAAACAATAAAATACAAAAATGTAATGAATATCGGTATATTCCTGATTGGAGTACTGTTATGGCATCATATCAAATTGAAATATTAACATTTTCTTGTTAATAGCTTTTTGCACTAAAAACAATCCATGAATATCCTGGATTAAAAGTTAAGTTCAACAATATTCGGCCAGGGCCGGACCATCGGTTTCGTGACGTCACACTAGTAGGGACAAAATCGAGGCGCTGGAAACAGTCATCAAATATGTACAGAACAGATATTTTTACAGATGTATCAATATTTAGGATGAATAGTTTGAAAAATATGGCATATCAAAATATATTGACCACATTTAGGATTGTCGCTTTTTAAACAGGTGCTAAAATTCGAATATTCAATTCACAGAAATGATTCAACCTCTCATAGTAATAACTAAAGTGCTCAAAGGAACAAGGGGACCACTGAAATTTTCGACAATTTTCAAACTGCCATAACATTCTGAAAAATTAATAGATTTTCAATCGGAATGCAGTCTTTGGAAGATGCGATCTTTCTGTTCGAGATTCCTTGTTCAAACCTCGTCGGGAGTTTTTCTGTCATTATACACCAAGTGTTCTTAAAAAGTATTACAAAAATGAAAGAATTCGAACGCTTCCGTATTCCAGGGATTTTATTTTATTTTTCTATTAATATTTTTTTCGAACGTTCAAGCCAATATCTCGAAACGGATTTGTAATTTTCCATATTCCTCAAACAGGATGTTGAAAATCGATAATTTTTCATTTTTAGGTTTTCATCACATCATTTCTGATTTTAAAATTATGCAAGCCACATTCAACGTATTTTGCTACTCTATACGATGGAACACGTACTAGAAAATGGATTGCGTTGAAATAGTCGAAAACTTTAACAGAGGAAGAAATAATTTTTTTGAAGAAATGTTCAGAATTTGGTGAAATCGTCTGTTCAGTTTGGTTCTGCCATAACCATATGCTATGCTAAACACAAATCCTTTATTTGGATCGATTGCTCTGCTCAGTATCGCGAATTGATTTCGTGAATTTTGAGATGAGGCAATCCAAGGGGGCGCAAGGAGGCCCTTCTGGATTTTTCTGAACAATTCATACAATAACGATGCTACAATGGTTGTAAGACATTCCTGAGCTGACATGGAGTCGAGAAACCTATTTATCACAAGGTTTTTCATCGCGTAATCGAAAATCAATCGAAAAAGTCGATTTCTTGTAATCAACACTCATTTACGCAATTAATACCACTGCAACACCCAATATAATGCCTCCTGTCGAACCGATGATGACAGTTGTCAAAGTTTCGACAGGAGGCATTATATTGGGTGTTGCAGTGGTATCAATTGCGTAAATGAGTGTTGATTTATACAAGGAATCGACTTTTTCGATTGATTGTCGCTTACGCGATGAAAAACCTTGTGATAAATAGGTTTCTTGACTTCATGTCAGCTCAGGAATATGTTGGGCCTCCTTGCGCCCCCTTGGATTGCCTTATCTGAAAAATCACGAAAACAAATTCGAGATACTGAGTAGAGCAATCGATCCAAATGAAGGATTTGTGTTTAGCACAGCATATGGTTATGGCAGCACCAAACTGAACAGACGATTTCACCTAATTCTGAACATTTCCCCAAAAACATCAATTCTTCTTCTGTTAAAGTTCGCGATGATTTCAACGCAATATAAATCAATTTCCTAGGATGTGTTCCATCGTATAGAGTGGCAAAATACGTTGAATGTTGCATAATTTTGAAATCGGAAACGATGCGATAAAGACCTAACAATGAAAAATCATCGATTTTCAACATCCTGTATGAGGAATATGGAAAATTACAAAACCGTTTCGAGATATTGGCTTGAACGTTCGGAAAAAACGCTTAATAGGAAGAAAAAAATTCCCTGGAATACGCAAGCGTTTGAATTTTTTCATTTGTGTAATACTTTTTCCGAACACTTCGTGTATAATGACAGAAAACTCCCGACGAGTTTTGAACAAGGAATCTTGAACAGAAATATTGCATCTTCCAAGCACTGCATTCCGATTGAAAATCCATTCATTTTCTAAAAAGATATGGCGGTTTGAAAATTGTCAATTATTTCAGTGGTCCACTTGTTTCTTTGAGCACTTTACATTGACTGTATTTTTTTTTCCAAAATTCTCAAGAGCCATAAATGAACCGATATTTCAATTAAAGTGACATGATGATTCAGACGGCTCCCATGCTCAACCTATTAGCTGTGGATATATGCTGTCACTGACTTTTTTGTACAAAGTTTCTTTGCCTACGAATCGATATAATACACTTTTACTGTATTTCAGAAATTTTGCCAGCGTTTATGTATAATAAAAGATAATCGGGATTCTGGAAACACTTCAATGACGTTAGAAATTCTATACCTATCTACTCGAGTAGAAGTTATTACGCAAAAACCCTGATTGCATATTAATTATTTTCAGCTAGATTGTAGATTGTAGATGGGTCGTATAGGCTGGGAGACCTCTCGATCACTGCGACCTAGAAGATCTATTGTGATTACCCTTATCTAGTTTTTGTCCTCTAACCCTAGACTTCTGATGAAGCCTAGAATTTTCCTGACGGTTGAATTTTCCACCTCAGCAAGGGTGAGATAGACCTGTTCTAGGTGGTTCAGCCTTTGGCGGACTAATACTTCACATGAGCAAAGTATGTGTTCCGCGGTTTCGGTCGCATTGTTACAAAAGCGGCAAGTGTCAGTCTTCGCCAGGCCCATCTTTTCGAGGTGGTACCTCAGAGGGCCGTGTCCTGTGAGAAAGCCTGTGATAAGCTTTAGCTCTGGTTTGCTGAGGCTGAGTAGCTCTTTGGCTCGGTTCTGCGAATGGTTGATGAACCTTTTCGCTTGTCGTTGACCTGGAGTTGCTCTCCAGTAGGAGGACTTTTCAATTTCTTCCCATTTCCTTAGTTCTTCCTTTAGGTGACATTTGCTTATCCCACAAAAAGGATCAGGACCAAAAAGTGCAGATCTGAATTCATAATATTCGAATTAGCAAAACAATAGTCAAGCTCCGACATTATTTTTTCTTGCGATTTTCTGTTTCACCAAGTAACATAATGGATAAAAGATACTCATTTCGAGTACTTTACCAAATTAATTGCAATAACATGAATTTTGAAACATCCTCATTCTCTAACCCAGACAACACAGAATATTCTATGAATGTTCTCACAAGGCCACAACATACCTCCTTCAGAATATTCCGAAGCACTTTCATAGAATATGATGAGGATGTTCTGAATGTTCATAAAATGTTTTACGAGAATATTCATAGACCATTTCATCCAAATATCCTAGAAAAGTTCCTAGAATATCATGAATGTTATTCAGGAATTAACATTGAATGTATTGTTTGTATTGTTTGAATATTCTAGACATATGTTCATAGAATATTTCATTTAGATATACTATATGAGAAAGAGAACAACTGTTATCAACTATAAATATAATATGTTTCAACTTGTTTCGATTTTGAGATACAGGAAGTGAAATTTCACAAAAAAAAACGATTTTTTATGATTATCAAAAATCCTTCTCGCTGATTCTGATAAAATTTGTCATGCTCTACTGCGGAAGCAATGGGGTTTAGTGAATTCAAATTTACCACTATTTTCTCCAATTACTTTCTTCCTACCCTACCCAAGTTATGAGTCGGAATATTGAATGTAAAATTCTGAGTGATAAATCGGAATTTTATAAATTTGAAGTTTTTAATTTTTTTATTTTAGGTGCCCCTTCCAAGGCTTCGTATATTCTCCTCCTATATCGATCTCTGAAATATTTTCAATGTGCTTTAAAACACCCTGTATACTGAGAATATTCCTAGATCATTCTAGGATCTTCTATATATTCATAGAATGTTCTGAGAATGTACTGAAGAATATTATGAAAACATTCTTGGAACGTGAATATTCGACCCATTTGGATATGTTCTTAGGATATTCTCAAAACGTTCAGGGCACCTTGTGAGAACTTTCTGAGAATATTCGAAATCTTCCACGGGGATATTCTGAGAACCTTCTCAGAATCACTTGGTGCTGTCTGGGAAGTATCTCTGTCTGATCGATGTTTCATGATTTTATCATAAATCGTAAGTCTCGAGAATAAAATAATTATTCATGCATAAATTCTGAGAAAGCAGCTAATCCTTATGTTTTTGTGTAATCACATTTCACAATATTTGAGATAAAATACCTATTACTTATATGCAATCACAAAATGATCACAAGTAAATACAGAAATTGCATGTGTATAAACATGAGAATGGAATAATGTGAATTACCTGTTATTTTTAGAGTTCAGTTATCCATATACAGGGTGACTCAAAATTGGATGTAAAAATCTTGAAGAAGACGTATTAATGGAATCAAAATCAGACTATTATTTTCAAATGTACATGTGTCCTAAAATCAATGAACTCAATATAAACAACTGGAAGGGACCCTCTGTGAACGACGAGTGAGGCAAAAATATTGTTCAGGCAACCCGCAGTGTTTACGGGTACCTATCTCTCTCTATCTTATGTTCGCTAACGGGAAGCGCTCGCATTATTTGAAATATTTTCTCGTTTTTTGCTTTTATTTGAGAAAAAACGAGATTAAATAAAAATATTCATATAGGAAAAAGGATAATGTTGCAATCAATTGTCATTAAAAAATTATTATTGATTTTTTTATTGACTTAAAAATGAAATTTCATTCATTTACAGGATTAAGGAGTCAAATGAATACAAAATTGAAATGATATATTTTCATTCAAATGTCACAATATATTGTACAGGGAGAGCGAAGCACAATGTCTTAGCATTATCAGAAGAAAAAGAAAAACGATAGGAAGAATTTGAACAGAGGTTATTGAATGGTATTGACTACCTAAGGTCCATTTTGAGCATAATTTCCATAGGTTCCAATTTTACCATAAGGTCACTGCCTACAAACATATCCCTATTAGAAATTGAGAAAATACAATTCTCAATTCAATATCCTTCTCCAATGGAACAGTTTGGGTTTCCTTATAGATATTAGAAACTTGGGAGCTGGAAGTCATAGATAAAGTCCATAATATGAGAAACATCTTCCTTAGGACCCAAAAGTTATGAACTTCCACAGATACATCCTGAAAATAAATTACTAGCTAGTTTTTTATTTTGAAGTGGTGCAAACATACTTTTTTTTATTATTAATCAACTAGGTACTTATGAGTTTTCTTATTTTCCTTCAAGGATCAGTATTTTTTGGTAACAAATGCTTAGGAAATGAAAATATACTGGGTACAGCATCTGGCTTCAATAACCTAGCAGTACCTGGTATGTCTAAATAAATAATCAGTTGGCAGGAAATGCTCTCCACAAAGCTTGCTGGTTTTAGATGGAGTCCAACTCTCTCTATGAACTGCCTTAATCCATAATTCAAGAATGTCTGAATGGAAAACTGCAACAAATAATATTACTCAATATCAATATGGAAGTATTTAACTTTGACAAATAATATAGGTATAGTTTTTGAAGATATTCTGAGACTGAAAACATTGTACACCTAACTGATGATCATTTCAAGAACTATATATTCAAAAAAATCTTAACAATATTCAACTTACCCATGGAATGACAATTTCCTTTTTTCTTGCTCGTTCTTGCATCCAAAGGCGACACAATAAATCACCATTTGTTTATCAAAACCTTCTCAACAATAAGTTCACAGTGTTCACACCAATAAATTCAGTCCTTTTTATCAAACAAAACACGCCAAATGAATAGATATTTCACATAAACAAAGACAATGAACTTATGTCTTCACTTTCTTGCCTGTTTAGATGAGAGGAAAAAATCTGAAGTACTTTGATTATTAGATAATGTCCTTATTACACAGTCCAATTTACAGATCGATCCTATGACCAGTTTTCGAGCTACAGGTTGTCAATCATATTATTTTGGCTGTTTAGAATCTCTTTCAATATCAAACATTTCTAAGTCTGGAATAAATATGGTTCGGCTGTGTCAAATACTTAAAAATTTGGTCCAGTGGCGGTTTTGTTTGAACATTATAGGACTTTCCTATCGTGTGCTCCAAAAAATTTAAAAAAAATCACTAATCCGTTACGAAATGACAAATTATTGTGTTGTCACAACACCTGACAGTTAATTTATGAGTGGTCATAGATATCTTGATTCATAAGATATATGAAATATATCTGTTAAATCACTTGTAGAACTAGAGACTTTTTGAAAAACAATTTATTTGAATGACCTACAATTTGATTTTTTTATATTCTGGTTTCCACGACAAGGGATATCCTGTAATGTTCGGAGAACATCGTGAGAACCAAGGAAAATGAGGTAGGAATTGGTGTTCTTCTTAAATTTCTGGAGGTTATATTCCTCGGGGAATGTGTTCCAGAGCCTCGCTGTTCGTTGGATGAACGAGTCTTTGGAAATAGATGTTCTGCAGGTCTCCAAAGTGACCACGAAGGGGTGCTAAGCCTCAACTCGACGGGTTAATCTCGCAGGGACTGCCAAGGGAGGAACAATTGTTGATATTTCAGAAGAACATCGTCCATGAAAATATCTATAAAATAGAGCCAGATCGCCTACTTTCCTTCGGTGTTCCAGAGAAGTGAGTCAGTTTGTGAGCGAGGCATCACTCATGAGACGGATTGCTCTTTTTGGACAGAATCCAACAGTTTCAGGGTATGTTTGGGTGCTGCACTCCAAATATGGGAACAGTGTTCCAGGACAGGTCGGATCTGTGCCTTATAGATGGTGAGAAGCTGACTGGAAGTGAAATAGCTCCTGACCCGAAACAGAAAACCAAGTTTTTGGGATGCACTTTCAGCAATTGATCTCACGTGATTTTCCCAAGAAAGGTTATTGCTGATAGTAATACCAAGCATCGAAATGGATGTTTCCAAAGGTATGGTTACTCCTGACTCAAGACAAGGGCATATAGATGTGTAGCATTTAAGTTCAGAGGATGTCGAGTCAGCAGACACGTGTGTCTTCGGTTACTCTTAACCTTGAAGTCATCAGTAATATGAAACTCCTGAGATGGTACTTGGTATATGATGGGAATATTCATATAACATATCTATGGAGAATATCAATTATCAGGCAAGGATTCCGCAGAGTCATGCCCACCATTCGCGATTTTATTCATTTATTCGTGTTTGGCATTCAGGATCAATCTACCTTCATCCATAGAACGGCTAGGCTCTGGAATTCATTGCCTGTGGAAGTATTCCCAACAACATATAATCTCCAAAAGTTCAAAAAAAATTCCAATACCTACCTCCTGTCCCTATCCTCCCTAGGAACGCGCGATGTTCTTTGAACATTATAGGGATTCCCTTTCGTGCGCTCCAAGCGATAAAAAAAAAAAAAAATATTGATGAAAAAAAACTTTTGGTGTAGGCACTTCAATCCTCTCCTGTTTTGCAATTCCTTTATTTTCACCTACTTCGATAAACATAACATGGCGTAAGTGAATCTCGCTAAGATTAGTCTGGTGCCGTACCAAAATTACAGGCATCAATGTGACAATTGTGACCGACTTGTGACCAATGAAGATAGGGAATACATTTTGCCATTCTGCCGCATCAAGATTGTTAGAACTGATGTTGATCATAAGTTCTAGGAATCACGCCATCTAACATTCAATATGTGAACCTCACGCCATAGTCTGAAATTCAATTGTTCATATCAAGAACCAGTTTGACGAAACAAATGAAGAGGGAGCACACCAGAGGTTAGTTTCATCAATATCAGAATATTTGTTCACTTCTCTTGAATGAAAATGAAAAAAAGGGTAAAAGTGGCTCTGAAACTGAGATTTTGTGTAACAAATACAGTGGCACAGTTTCGCAAAGCTCAATTATTTATATTTGACTTCAAACCTGTGAATAATTGGATAAAATGTCCGCAAAACTTTAGTTTTCGTTTATAATCATTATTTATTACAACATATACAAAACAGTGGAATTTAAAATTTGTACACCTATCATCTACATACGTGAATACAAAGTCAGCATCCTCAAATAGTTTCAGTGCTTCCCAACGACATGCCATTAGGACTCGGAGTGGAACTCATCGAGCTCAAAGTTTCCTCCTTCAGCCTCAACTTATTCGGATCCTTTTCCTTCTTCTCCTTATCCTTCCCGTGCTTGTGCTCGTGTTTGTGTTTGTGCTTGTGTTTGTGCTTCTTCTTGTCCTTCTTCTTCTTCTTTATCTTGCCGGAGGAGTCGGTCTTGTGTTTCTCGCCGTCCTTCTTGAACATGCCCGGCTCGAAGCCCACAGGGCCGCTTTGACCCATACCAGGCAGAGAAACGGAATTGTCCGAGAAGTAGTCTTGTTTTTGTAGCACAGGGGATTCCACCTTGATGTCCATGACTTCCTCTTCCTGGAAAAAAATACGAGAAATCAATCGAACACAATTAGCTGATTTTATTTCTTGTTCAGGATCTCAACAGTAACAGCCACCAGAAGATTTAGCCAGATTATTCGCCCTGTTGGCCAGCTCCAACAGGGGAATGAAATGTTAATTGAATACAAAAAGATATACACTCAACGAAAAAAACAGAACATTTAGCCAGATCATTTGCCCTGTTGGCCAGCTCCAACAGGGGAATAAAATGTTAATTGAATACAAAAAGTAGAAGTCAAAAAATCAATCGGTATTAAGGAAAGAAACACGAATCGATGGATAGATTTCAGGAGGATGTAATTCAATGTTCTGCGTGGCATTAGCCAGGAAAGTAGTTGTTTTTCTCCAGTCATCTACCATTTTTGTTCAATGACCTTGAGTTTCTGTATTTTATTAACATTTCATTCCACTTTAAGAATTTTGGCAATTTCATAGTTGTAGTGAGTCCGTCATTTTGTTCATTAATTCACGTCCATCATTAACGTCATATAATTTTGCATGATTTGAGAATAAATCTTGGAGTATAACTAATATCATATCGACTGAGATAGTTCTTTTATTTCATGGCAAAAGACATTGACTGTCACAAAAACTCCGTCCAGACCAAGACATACCTTCCCGACCTTCTCCTCCCCAGCAACCACGTGTTCAACCGTCTCTATGACGAACTGCTCAAGCACTTCCTTCGCGGAGGCGAGCAAGATTTAGTGAGTATATCAGTAGCATGACCTCGATTATCTACCCATGATTCCCTACAGTTATCCTTGTTGTCATCATGTTTTAGATTTTAGATGTGCAGAAGATGAAACACATAAACAAACTTGTATATTCTTGAAATTTCAAGATAGTTCCTTACATGGTAGCGTCAGTTTATATGAAAGTATCAAAAAACATAGAACGTTAATTAACATTCGAAAAATACAAAGGCTCAAAACATAGACCGAAATGTCAAAAGTCGAAAGCCTTTCTGACAGCGGACACAATAGAAAAATACATAAACGTCGACGTGGAGGGTTAGCATTTGAAGCGTTTGAAGCATTGAAGCAAAAGCGTAGTGAATTATGTTCAATAGTGAACAATCCTCACTTTTCGCCATTTAGTCTGAGCTCATAGTTATCAATTCATCCAAGTCGCCGTGATCATTATTGGTGTAAGTATGGCCTCGCAATGACGTTATGCCGAGAAAAAAAGAATTCACATCATATTATATTATTCCACCATGGTCTGAGATAATTATTGAGACATACCTATTCGACCTTCTCCTCCCCGGCCACCACCTCCAAACCCACGTACTCCAACGTCTCCATGATTTAAAAATAAATCTTGTAGTATAACTAATATCATATTGACTGAGATAAAGATTGGCACAAAAATCTCCATCCTGACAAAGACATACCTTCCCGACCTTCTCCTCCCCAGCAACCACGTGTTCAACCGTCTCCATGACGAACTGCTGAAGCACTTCGTTCGCGGGGGCGAGCAAGATTTTGTGAGTATATAAGAGTAGCATGAACTCAATTATCTACCCATGATTCCGTACAGTTATCCTTGTTGTCATCAAGTTTCACATTTTACATGTGCAGAAGATAAAACACATAAACAAACTTGTATATTCTTGAAATCTCAAGATAGTTCCTTACCTGGTAGCGTCAGTTACTTTGAAAGTACCAAAGAACATAGAACGTTAATTAACATTCGAAAAACATAGACTGAAATGTCTAAAGTCGAAAGCCTTTCTGACAGCGGACACAATAGAAAAATACATAAACGTCGACTTAGAGGGTTAGCATTCGAAGCATTTGAGGCAAAGGCGTAGTGAATTATTCTCAATAGAGAACAATCCTCACTATTCGTCATTTTGTTCATTACTTCATGTTCAGCGTTGAGGATTATTGTCATATAATTTTGCATGATCCATGGATGAATTATATTATGGTGTGCTACGACGCATCTTCGTATACGTCACTGCAAGTAAAACAAATGCTCGCAGTATGAGCTCACAGTTATCAATTCGCTCGAGTCACCGTGATCATTATTGGTGTGAATTAGGGTCCCTTGATGGAAATTGATGTTAAAGTCATCTCAACAGAGTACGGACAGATCCTCGTCTCCTCTCTAAAGTGTTTGTGAAACAGTTATACAGGGTGATTCAAAAGTAAGCGGCATCCTTTCAGAGGCGTATTCCTTGCATGAAAATAAGGCAAAAAGTTCCTATTGATAAGGATCCGAAAATGCTTCCTAAGGGAGCTACGGCCCTTTGAATAGGACACCTCAAAGACGGTTTTTTCTCTATAACTTTAAAATCCTTCACAACAAATTTTTAAAAATTGGTGTACGGCATAAACATTCGATGGTAAATAGGACTCCGTATTCGAAATAATTTCCAAACGAAATCACAGTAACCTGAATATCCGGAGAAGAAGGGATATTTTTACACTTACCCTCTCCCGCATGTGACGCCCCTGAATGAAATTCTGAAATTTCGAATACGGAGTCCTATTTACCATCGAATGTTTATGCCGTACACCAATTTTTAAAAATTTGTTGTGAAGGATTTTAAAGTTATAGAGAAAAAACCGTCTTTGAGGTGTCCTATTCAAAGGGCCGTAGCTCCCTTAGGAAGCATTTTCGGATCCTTATCAATAGGAACTTTTTGCCTTATTTTCAAGCAAGGAATACGCCTCTGAAAGGATGCCGCTTACTTTTGAATCACCCTGTATAGTTCCATCCTTATTCATTTCTGGGGATAAACACTAGATTTTTGACATTCGTTGTTTTTTAGGTTATATTGAGGTCACTGGCGTATCATAAGTAATTTACATATGGAATTCCTGATTGATTGACAATCCTCTAGTTTTAGAGTCTACTACTCCAGCATAATCTTTGAGAGGTAGGGAACATATAAATTGTACTGAAATCTTAATATATTTCTCCAAAAGAGATTGTTCTTAGACTGTATACCAGGGTTGACTGAATTGACTAAATGAATTCTGATTTCAAGCTGGGCAGAAGTTTATCTATGAGCTGAATGAGCTGAGCCTTATGATTGAGCAATGGTGGAAACCTCAATGTGGGTATCTGAACTACTGTACTCATGTCATGTGTGCTAAATATATTTTCGGAATTCCAATCCGAAAAAGAATTTATGGAGTTACTAAAATCACACTATGTGTAGAACTTTGTCTGGGACGAAAAGTAGGCTGATGAAAAGTAATACGTAAAATGTGCAGGAAAATAAAGGATAGAATATACTTAACCCCCATGTTATACATATGATTTCTCCGTCTACCTTAATAGAAAGTCATTTTCGAATAATTTATTGATGAAAGTAACAGAGAAGTTGGTATACGCCTTGGTATATGCAGTATAACTTACAGGAACGTTATTTTCACTCGTGCATCCTACATATTTTCTATTTGTGGTAGAGTAATGATTATATGAACTAATGTTTTCCGCCATATTGGATCCGTCATCTTGAATTTTCAAATTTTGACGAAACAATCATTATCTCCTACCCCGAAAATACCCAGATACCAATTTTGAATAGAATCGGATCTTCATTACAAAACTCGTCCACCATATTGGATCCGCCATGTTTAATAACCCAATTTTGACAAAATTATTATAATCTCCGACCCCAGAATCCCCAGATACCAATTTTGATTTTTGTATAGAATCGGATCATAATTACAAAATTCGTTCGCCATATTGGATCCTCTATCTTAAATTTCCCAATTTTGACAAGAACTCATGAACTCTTCGACCCCGAAAACCCTCAGATACCAATCTCAAATAGAATCAGGTCATAATTAGAAATTTCTTTCGCTATATATTGGATCCGTCATCTTGAATTTTCCAAGTTTGACGAAACAATCATTATCTCCAACCCCGGAAAACCCCAGATACCTTCCAATTTTGAATAGAATCGGATCATAATCACAAAACTCGTTCGCCATATGATCTTCCTCAACAAGTAAATACCCTGTACATACCTATTATTGAAATGTTGAATGATTTTCTGTAACGCCCATGGATGTGACGTGACAGCAATGTCAGGGATGCCAGTAGACAAAACTAAAGTCTCTAGATCATTGAAAAAGAGTGCAGCTATGATCTGTCCGTACCCTGTTATGATGACTTTAACGTCAATTTCCATCAAGGGACCCTAGTGTGAATATAGACTCGCAATAACTTTATGCACCATGGTCTGAGATAATTATTGAGACATACCTTTTCGACCTTCTCCTCCCCGGCCACCACCTCCAAATCCACGTACTCCACCGTCTCCATGACGACCTGCTGGGGCACCTCTTTGACGGGAGCGGGCGGACTGGCTGCCCGCTTGGGGATGGTGGCCAGTTTGGGCCGCTTGGCCGCCGGCTCGTACTTGCCGAGGTCGATAATGCCGGCCAGCTCCAGCAGGGGGATGCAGACGGGCCGCTTGGTGCCGTAGAGGGTGTAGTAGAGGTCGACGAGGTCGCAGCGTAGCCGGCTGTCGTGCGACAGCATGCAACTGAAATTAATCAAGGTTTTTCGTTCAATTTTTTTTACAAAGCATGCGATGTTCTGGTACATGCGGACTTTGACAAAATAAACATCAAGTGGCCTATTTTATTTTACCTTTAGGTTAATATCACCGGTTGCAATACAAATCTTATTTCTAATTTCCTAAAATAATGATTGATATTGCCCACTGACAGGGTATGCTGCCTCGGTAGTTGAAAACTGTCACACAACGTTGTAGAATATACGGGTTGTCCCATTTGAAAATGAACATAATGTTCCTATAGGCGCGCGCCCGTATAGAGGGTGTTATTTAATTGAGTGCCGCTAATACAAGGTGTGAATCCTCAGATGATTTAAGGGAGAAAAGTTTATATCATATCATTTAACTACATCGGAAATACAGTGAGGACGTAAAAAGTCCTCCCCCCCCTTAACTTTTGAACGGAACAAGCTATCGAGGTCGGGTAAAATTCAGGTAAAAAGGTACTACTTTTACTACTTTTTGGCATAAAAATGATTGTGGTCACGTGGCCTAGTGTCAAGAGGGTACCATCAACTTTTTTTTTTCAAATGTAAAAGGGGGTCACGTGGCACCTGGTTTTGAAGGCCTTCCGATTCTCTATCCACCACCGCTGTGTTTGTGAAAATCGACCAAGCCGTTTCAAACTGACAAGTGTTTGAAATTTGCTTCAAAAATTTCACAAAGAAATTATTTCAACTATTAATTGCAGCAGAATTTCAACTCCGTCACTGATTATGGTCGAAGAGTCAATTTTTTGTGGTAAGACAGGTGCGCATATTATTGGTATTTTAAAATGTGGTTTTTGTTCCAGTTTTTTGTTACCTTATTTATTTTGCTGGAGACTCCAAATATCATTTCATTTCATTTCAATGCCAGTCTAATATTGACGTTAATCATATCAAATCATATCGATACTTTTGACAGTTCTCATAGGTTTAAGCTTGTTCTTATAATTTTCAAATGCCTCGTCCTCGTCCTTTAGAAGAAAAAACCGAAGCTATTTTAATTTACGCTGAAGTTAGGCGAAATTACCATGAAGCAGAAAGAATATTCAATGAGCGCTTCCCAAATAATCCAATATCTCGTACATACTTAAGAGAATTGGTCAGTAAATTTCAAAGGACTGGTTGCGTAACGAGGGAAAAAGGATCTGGAAGAAAATCTATTTCAGAAGAACATCAAATCGACGTTCTGGCAGCTGTTGTTAATAATCCGCAACAAACAACGAAAACGGTAGCCATGGATTGTGGCGTATCTACGACCACTGTGAAAAAATATCTTAAAAAACACAAATTTCACCCATATAAATTGAAAATTCTGCATCAATTAACAGAAGACGACCCGGATAGAAGACTGCAGTTTTGTGAGGTCATGTCTGACCGCAATCCTGGTTACATTAACTCTATTTGTTTTAGTGATGAAAGTACGTTTTTTCTAAATGGAACGGTAAATAGACAGAATGTGCGTTATTGGTCAGACGTAAATCCGCACGTTTTTCGAGAGGGTCATACTCAAACTCCAGAGAAGATCAACGTATGGGCTGGTATTTTGGGTGACCATATCATAGGTCCAATATTTATGGCAGAAAATTTAACTGGGCATCTGTATTTAAATATGCTTCAAAATCAGATCCATCACAGTATTCAAGAAGTAGTTCGGGCAAACCCAAATGAGTTTACCATGGATATTACCTTTCAACAAGATGGTGCACCCCCTCACTATTACAGACCTGTCCGAGAATGGCTTAACGAGCATTTTCCAGGACGGTGGATAGGCCGACGTGGCCCCATTGAATGGCCAGCTAGGTCACCTGATATGACACCTATGGACTTTTTTCTGTGAGGGTACATAAAATCTAAGGTGTACGTCACGCAGCCACAGTCACTCCAGGAACTTATGGACTGAATAACAGATGTGTGTCACAGTATTACCCCGGAAACATTCAACAATGTTCGGAATGAATTCCAAAACCGACTTTTGTTCTGTCAAGAAGTGAACGGTGAACATTTCGAGCACTTGTTAAAATAGTTGGAATTGTTGATTAAAATTTTGTTGCAATTAAAAGTTATTTAGGTTTTTAATTTATTTGTAAAATTTTTGAAGCAAATTTCAAACACTTGTCAGTTTGAAACGGCTTGGTCGATTTTCACAAACACAGCGGTGGTGGATAGAGAATCGGAAGGCCTTCAAAACCAGGTGCCACGTGACCCCCTTTTACATTTGAAAAAAAAAAGTTGATGGTACCCTCTTGACACTAGGCCACGTGACCACAATCATTTTTATGCCAAAAAGTAGTGAAAGTAGTACCTTTTTACCTGAATTTTACCCGACCTCGATAGCTTCTTCCGTTCAAAAGATAAGGGGGGGGGAGGACTTTTTACGTCCTCACTGTATATGTTGCTACTGCGAACGAACCTACCAAGTTTGATGGACATTAGGTTTAAGAATTAATGGAAACAAGATTTTTTAAACTTGCCACACCCACTGTATCTCTAAAAACTACAGAACTTCTTTTCATTTTCTGGCTAGAAATGTATGCTTGAAATTTGCATCGAATCCTTCAAGAATGCACTCTACGAATCATATTATTCAATTTCTTCGCTTAATTTGACGATAGTTTCAATAACGATAACTAATATTTTAGCTACCAATATTTCCAGAGGAATGAATATCCAGAATCCTAAACTCTGACAAAATTGAGTTACTTCAGATACTTCATGTCTATGAACTTTTATGTCACAAGCTCCCATACTTCCATAATTCAAAATAAATGATATTGAACCAAATTATAGAATAAATTCTCACTACTCATCCTAACTGCTTTTTTTACACCATTTCATGAAGAGGGATAATGAGAGGATTTAGGTAAAGGAAACTACCTACCATCGCGGTCGTGCTGTGAAATAAAGATAGATATAGTAGTCCGTGGGCATAAGCAGATATTTCGATGAAATCATAAAACCAGTCGTTACAATTTATTTGGGCAGCAGGGTACCATAATTATTCGAAATATTCATATCAACGGAATATAACTGATATGGTACTTGGCATGTTAAGATCTGTATACTCATCGTCATGTTCAGCTTCGTCAATATGAATATAAAACTTAACAAAATGATAAAATAATATCACCATACAAATTCACAATTCATTAACAGACCAACTTGTAACACAAAAATGCAACTGTGATGTTTGCGAAATGAGTGCACTTACTTAGAAACAACAAGAAATAATATGAAATAACAGGAAATGATATCACAGACTAAATTCGTATGCCAAACTTACTTTATGTTCGTCCAGAGCCTCTCCACTAACTCTGGGATGTCGAGCTTTCCTCGATGAGCCCTCTTGAAAGGTGGATGTTTTATCAACAAGTTTGCCAGCTTGTGCTTCAGGCCTGGATCAGGATCGTTCTCTAAAATGTCCAGAACGTACTGGAGATCGTCCCATTTACCATCGACCTTGACGAAGTCCACGAGACACTCCAAAGCTGCTAGCCTCACATCTGAACAATTAAAGTCTCCATCAGGACGATGTCTTTGGCAGACCAAAATTGTTGGTGTTTTTCTGCATTAACTTGATCTTAATATTTGTTCTTCCTCATGAGCAAGTAATCAAAATATAAATAATAATGATTGTAAACGACATTATCCCATATCATCACTAGATCAACAGATGAACTTTCAATTTGGGGCAAAATTCATAGCGTTTTCCACTAGCTGCTTCACAGAGCGCCGGGTAAGTAAAAGTGGCACTGACTCGGTTTTTTTTTCATCACGTGCAGTTCCAGCACATAGTAGTAGAAATAAATATAAAGGTATTTCGCGGCCTAGATATACCAATAACTATTGTCTGAAATAAGAAATGATATTTATGCAAAATGTTTTTTTCTACAGAAAATCATGGCATCCCTAATGCAAGTTTATTTCTCTGCAAAGACCTTTAGGTAGGTTTGAATATTTTATGATGATTGGAAAGAAAAGAAAAGAAAGAAAATTCTGAATCGAGAAATCCTAATCATGAGTTTGTGATTAGAGGTCAGTAAAAATAACAAATTTCAATTGTTCAAGTTTGAACCTCTTGATTGGGTTTGAAAGTATTGAAAAGGAATATTCTCAGATATATATATATATATGTTCTGGTTCTCACGAAAAGGGATATCCTGTAATGTTCAGAGAACATCGTGAGAGCCAAGGGAAATAAGGTAGGAATTGGTGTTATTTCTAAATTTCTGGAGGTTATATGCCTCGGGGAACACCTCCTATGAAAAAAATGGATACATATGAAGAAATACATTGAGGAATCACATTCTCTATCTGATAAAAATATTAATTCCCTCTAGGTTTATTCAACATAATTGATTGATTGTAACCCCAAGACACAGTATTGTGTATAATAAAGATATTTACAACTATTTTCCTGGCTATATGTCTCACGACGAACATACACAATAAGAATTTGAAAATAAAATCTTCTGAAGTTGAGAATTTGTATTCTCTTTCAGATGAAAATCTATATTATGTATATTATATTATTCTGAATATTATACAACAGAAAACAACAACTTCCCGGGCTATTTGCCAAGTCAAACATTGAATTATACCAATTGTATTCATCAATCAAATGATAAATGTATAAAAATTTGCTATTATCATCCTTTCTGATTTTCTTGACGAGAGCAGAAGAAATGATGTTCAATCAACCATAATATGTGCGGCCCCCGCCTATGGAAAGGCATCTGACTCGGCTCATACTGATAGCTATGCTGATAGTGACTAATATAGTTTTATGTAATGTAAACGGGATAAGGAAGGATTCATCATTAATTATTCAGATATTGTAGAGAAAAGTTGTACCTACAGAAGTTGAATACAAGTTGTTAGAAACTGGATATTACACCGCACCACCCTATACATCGATACCTTCTGATTCTATTAGTAAGACATGACTCAGATGGTTACGTTACATGATGAATAAGAGGACAGTCGTTGGAGAATATAGATTATCAATCGTTTATCTTTTGTAGAGCACACATCGTGAATATAAATTGTTAGAATTTGAATAGTGTTTCAATAACCATAGTCCAATATCTCAGAAGTGTGGATAAAGAACTGCTTAAGGAGTGAAAAAAAATCATAGTGAAACTGTGTTGTTGTGTAGTGTGTAGTTGCCAAAATGCCGAGAAATAAACGAATACGAAGCCCTAGTTCATCGAGTTCTTGTGGTTCAACGAGAGGTCTAGTGCAAGTTTCACAACTTCTAATTCAAGCCAGACTACAGGGAGACGTCGGAAACGGCAAGAAAAGAAAATGTCAAGAAAGAAGAGAAGTTCGAAACGGTCGAGACATTCACGGGGATCCAAAAGAGTAAGATTGTCTGACAAACAGCTCATCGAAATAGGAGTGAGTACTGCATTGAATTCTTTTCGTGAAAGAAATAATAGCAATATTCTCGCAAAAGTTATACCTGATTTTGACCCAAAAAAAGAAAATGTTCATGAATGGTTGAATATTATCGATGAACATGCCAAATGCTATGATTGGGATGAAAATACAGTGAAATTCCAAGCACTCAACAAACTCAAAGGTACCGCTGAGAAATGGTACCACAGTTATATCAAAGATGAAATCGGGTGGGCTAATTATTCATGGGCAAAATGGAAGAGACTATTGGGAGAAGTTTTCCTGGCAGATCGTAATACTTACGCCCTTTTCATGGACGTGGCCAATCATAAACCACGACGTGGGGAGTCCTTATATTCTTTCCATTTTGACCATCTGGCAAAAATAAATAAGCTCAAATTAAATTTTTCCGAAACCGACAAAATTTCTCTTATCTTGGGCTCAATTGATAATGAAACTGTATCATCCGCATTAAATGCGAGTGGTATAAATGAACTGAATTCATTAGCTAATTATTTAAAGGATCGAGCACATGATAATAGTAGCACCAGTACCTCGACCAGTACTATTACGAATACCAAATCGCATTTTCATAATACTACGAGGGATGCGAAATTTCAAAATCAATTCCAAACTCAAACCAAAATTGAATGTCACACATGCGGTAAAACGGGGCATATAAAAAAAAAACTGTAGCTTCAGAAATATCGCGAAAGAACAAACTTGTAAATACTGTAACAAGCCAGGACATTTTGAAGCTGCCTGTTTTCAGAAGAAAAAAAAGAACCAACAGCAAAAAGAATTCAAGGGAGAAGTTCAGTCAAAATTTGAGGTCAAGTTGATATCAACTGGAAAGAAAAGCAAATTCTTCAGAAATATTTCAATCAATAACAAGGAAGTGTCAGCTTTTATTGATTTCGGAAGTGATTGTTCTGTGTTAGAAAGACAGACTGTTGAGCGTCTGGGCCTACATACTTTTGATTTAGATCGTCCTATTTCTCTAGCCGGATTTTTAGGACATGGCATAGACATTCAGCAATTTGTCGAAGCCACCATAGATATCGGTGAAGTATGTCTCCCCTGTAAGCTTTATGTAATTGATGAATATTTGGAATCCAGTGAATGCATCATCGGTAGAAATTTCACAGAACATAAGGAAATCAATTATTGTAGGATTGGTGATGAATTGAGTTTTTTTTTATGCAAACCAAGCAGTGAATAAAATAAATGAGATAATTGAATTCAATGAGGACACGGCAATTCAAAATCTTTTATATGAGTATCGTAGTATTCTTTCAGTTTCTTGTAATAATTTGAGCAAAATGAATTGCGAACCTATGAGAATAATTTTAACAACATATAAGCCTATTTCTCGAAATCCATATAGGATGGCCGAAACAGAAAGACTGAAATTGAATGAAATCATCTCTGTATTATTGAAAGCAAACATCATTCAAGAAAGTCAGTCTCCTTACGCTAGCCCTGTACTTTTGGTGAACAAAAAAAATTCTGACGAAAAACGTCTATGCGTTGATTATAGGGCACTCAATGCCATAACAGTGAGAGATAAGTTCCCACTGCCTAGAATAGAAGATCTTATCGATAGGTTACGAAACTGTAAATATTTCAGTAGTTTGGACTTTAAATCAGGCTATCACCAAATACCAATGCATCCGGATTCTGTGGAGAAAACTGCATTTATAACACCGAACGGTCATTTCGAATACCTGAGGGTTCCTTTTGGTCTTTCCAATGCACCTTCAGTGTTTCAAAAAGCCATGTATAAACTATTTGGTAACATGACATTTGAAAATGTTATAATATATTTGGATGATGTACTCATAGTATCTAGAACGAAAGAAGAGAACCTGAATACGCTCAAGAGGGTATTTCATCTGCTTGCAGATAATAAAGTTACGCTCAATTTGCCCAAATGCTTTTTCCTTAAAGAAAGTATAACATTTTTGGGTCACCAAATATCAGGAGATGGTGTATCCCCAGACATGTATAAGATTGAAGCAGTAAAACAATTTCCGCAACCTAAGAATATCCATCAGCTACGACAGTTTCTAGGCCTGGTGGGTTACTTCAGGAAATTTATTTATAAATTTGCTGAGAAGTCAAGCATATTAACGAAGTCATTGCGAAAAGATGAGAAATGGTCGTGGACTGACAAACATACTCAGGCTGTGGAATATTTTAAAAAGATCTTGATATCAAGTCCACTACTTATAATATTCGATCCAAATTTGAGAACAATATTGTATACTGATGCTAGCCGGGACGGATTAAGTGGAATACTCATGCAAGTTACTCATTGCGGAGAAAAACCAGTGGCGTACTATAGCAGGCAAACCTCGTCACAAGAAAAAAAATATCATTCTTTCGAACTCGAACTCCTTGCAATAGTAACCAGCGTTGAAAAGTACAGACATTACCTTTTAGGAATTGAATTTGTGATTCGTACAGACTGCAATGCTGTTAAAAATACCCTCAAGAAAAAAGATGTTAATACGAGAATAAGTAGGTGGGTTCTTGGTCTTCAAGAATTCACCTACCAAATTGAGCATAGACCAGGGCAACAAATGCATCATGTGGATGCGCTCAGTCGTAACCCAGTGATCAGTGAAAATGAAAACTCTAATGTTGAATCAGTTATGCTTATATCTGATGGGGATTGGTTAGCTAATGTGCAGAATGAAGACCCAGAAATTAAAAAGATAAGAGAAATTTTAGAATCGGGACTCATTGAAGAAGATATATAAAGATATTTTCAATAACTATGATTTGAGGGCCGGTAGGGTATTCAAATTGACGGAGAATGGTCGTAGGTGGGTTGTCCCTAAAAATTGCCGATGGCAAGTAGTTCAAGCAAACCATGATGAAATGGACCATTTTTCGGCTGAAAAGACTCTCAAGAGGGTTATGGATAGATATTGGTTTCCTAAAATGAGGAGGTTCATTACTAAATATGTAAGATCTTGTCTACATTGCCAATACCATAAAGTACAGGCAGGTAAAAAGCCTGGTTTCTTATTTTCTATTGTTAAATATGCCCGCCCGTTTCATACCCTGCATATAGACCACGTTGGACCATTCATAGAAACCAAAAGTGGTAACAAATATTTATTGGTAATTGTAGACGCTTTCACAAAATTCACTTTTGTTTCTGCAGTACCCAATACTAAAAGTAAACCAGTGATTGATCAGTTGAATAATATTATCAGTATTTTTGGATCCCCTTATCGAATGGTCTCCGATGCTGGAAAGGCCTTTACATCTTCAAAACTCCGAAAGTTCTGCACAGAAAAAGGAATTCGCCACTACCATACAGCCATAGCTATGCCCAGAGCTAACGGGCAGGTAGAACGTTTCAACAGAACCATACTTGATGCGGTGGCAGCAACTGGAGCCAACGTACAGACCAATGAGTGGGACACAAATATCGATAAAATCCAACTTGGACTCAACAGTACAGTTAATAAAACCACTCGAAGCACTCCTGCCGAGGTTTTTTTTGGCATTAAATTGAGCGCAACAGGGGATCGTTACGTTAATCATGTCATGGAAACACCACCAATTGACGTTACAAAATTAAGAGAAGAAGTCGGGAAGAAGCTAGAAGACAATAGGAGAAAGCAGGATGAATACCATAACGCTAAACGTGTTAGAGCCCCAGATTATCAAGTAGGAGATAAAGTGCTTGTCAAAGTTATGAACTTCGAAAGTGATGGAACCAGCAAAAAGCTAAGAGAAAAATTCAAAGGACCATTCACGGTACAAGAAGTAATGGGAAATGATCGTTATAAGGTCAAGGACGATTTGGGATCCGAGAGATGCAAAACTTCCAAACGCTATGAGGCAGTCATAGCAGCGGAACACATGAAACCATTCATTTCAAGAACCGATGACATATGGTAAGCAATTTCTAAAACACTGGATCAATGACAGTACTGTAGAAATGATATATAGATCATTATTCTAGGCAATTTCTAAAACACTGGCCTCGACAGGTCAGTACTGTAGAAATTCGGTAGAAATTGATGACGAATATATTTCTAAAACACTGGATCATTGACAGTACCGTAGAAATTATATAGATCATTATTCTAGGCAATTTCTAAAACACTGGCCTCGACAGGTCAGTACTGTAGAAATTCGGTAGAAATTGATGACGAAGAAATTATATAGATCATTATTCTAGGCAATTTCTAAAACACTGGCCTCGACAGGTCAGTACTGTACAAATTCGGTAGAAATTGATGACGAAGAAATTATATAGATCATTATTCTAGGCAATTTCTTAAACACTGGCCTCGACAGGTCAGTACTGTAGAAATTCGGTAGAAATTGATGACGAACACATTTTCGAATCGCTGTATGTGCAGTCTTATGAAAATTCATTCCTGGATCATTGCGAATTTCTAAAACACTGTCTCACAGGAGCAGTCCCGTAGAAATTTGTTTAATAAGAAACGTCTCAAACACTGAGCATTTATCAACACACGTGAAGTACCAAAAAAAAAAAAAAACGAATGACACCGACTGTCCAGATACTCATCAATACCGATTTTTGTTTCAGATCGATACCTTGAGGACAAGGACTTTGTAGGATGGCCGGATGTTAGAAACTGGATATTACACCGCACCACCCTATACATCGATACCTTCTGATTCTATTAGTAAGACATGACTCAGATGGTTACGTTACATGATGAATAAGAGGACAGTCGTTGGAGAATATAGATTATCAATCGTTTATCTTTTGTAGAGCACACATCGTGAATATAAATTGTTAGAATTTGAATAGTGTTTCAATAACCATAGTCCAATAAAGTGTTTATTGTGCCTACATGTATAATTGCGATTCTACCCCAAGTAGCCTACTACATATGGGATCTGTGTGTTAGAGACGCATTGCTGCATTCCATTCCAATTGATTTTAGATAATGATAAATGGATATATTTTCCCAGAATGAGATATACCGGGTGTCCCAGAGCTTTTAGGCCAGCAGATATCTGGGTTATCTAACATAAAAAAAAACTGTAGCATTTATGGGAGTGAAATCTCTCCAAGACAATGGAATCAAATCATTGTCATATCAAACAAACTAATAGAAACCACTCCTAACTTTGGTTTTTCGAATTATTAACTGCACCCCCATTTTTTTCAGTTCATCTAATTGAACTTCTCCTTCTCAATTCGACTATACATCACGATAGACATAGCGTTGTAGTCCAAGTTATGAAGATTGAATGATTCTGCATGCTTGTTATACTGTAACACTCAGTTATTCCTTTAAAAATCAGAGTTACACTTGATGTTTGAATAAGTGATATTAGGTAAGTGTACCAAGTGATAACAGTCATTTGAAAAAATCATTCAAGGAAAAATCGATATTTTTCCATAAAAATTATTGAAATCATTCGAAATTTCCGAGGATGAATTTCTTGCTAAACATCTAGTCCGATATATCAGTGAACTGAGAATGCAAGTTCTATAAGATGAACCGAAAAAACCATGGGGGTGCAATTTGAAAAACCCAAGTTTCAGGTTTTTTTTTCGCCGACGTGGTTTAAATCATTTATGGACATAATTTGGGTCTAATCCCCCATTTGATAGTGTGGAAGTCCCCTGACTCCAGGGTATTTCCACGTTAGTAGGCTCGTCTGAGCGACACTTAGTTTCAGGGGTGGTTTCTAGTAGATTGTTTGATAAGAGGATGATTCGATTTCATTGTCTTGGAGAGATTTCGCTCCCATATATTCCATTTTTTTTTCAATTATTTCAAATGTTACATAAACCAGACCTGAAAGCTCGGAGACACTTGGTATAATTTGTCGATACATACAGATTTAATTCAATATTCCATGGTATTAGCCAGGAAAATAGTTGTTTTTTGTTATATATTTCAACAATGACTTTCTTATAAAAAAAATACATGTTCATGTTGAAAACCGGAGCTAACTCGTCCGAAACGTTCAAAGATAAGTAGATCTTAATATTTATACAATATCTCTATATCCTGTTCTCCCGCTTCAAAAATTTTTTGAACAAGGTATCATCATCCGATTTGTCCTTACTACAGGTATAATGAAATAAAACTAATATTATTATTTATAGAGACGAGGCGAGAAACCTCTAGAAAGAATAGACATGAGTGGACATATTGTGTGAGATCAGATTCACAAAATGGGATTTTTTCAGACACCCAATAAAAAACGATCAAAAATGCACCTACCAATGAAATGCCCGTACACGGCATAACTCTTGAACAAGGTCGGCCGGCTGGGCAGATGTCCGAACTTCTGCAGCTTCCTGATGGCGTCCAGGCACGCCACCGACACGGTGTACTTGTAGCAGGGCAGCGCCTTCTCCAGGTTCAGCAGCCGCGTGATCTCCTCCAAGATCAGCTTCGTGTCGGCGCTGAGACTCTCCGCGGTGATCGGCGTGCCTTGGGCAACTACGGAGACCACTGGAGTTATGGTTTGCCCTAGGGCTTCGACTAGGGAGGCTCTATAAGAAAGTTTATGGTTGTCTTTATCCCAAGTAATTGATTATAAACTTTGGAAGAACTCCATGGTAACTCAAAGTGGAGTGGTATATTTCATAGATGAAGGAACACAAAGGCATCTCCACAACATTAATTAATTATAAATCAAGGTACAAAGCTTAAAGGAAGTAATTCATACTTGAAGTGGAGCAATTGATCAAGAAAGAGATGTCTTGAAGTAGAACCGAAGAAATAGTATGTGGGGTCCCTCAAGGATCGATATAAGGTCCGGTTTTATTTCTGATATATATCAACTCAATTGCCAACCTCAGATTGAAAGGGAACATATATATATTTTTGCGGATGATACCACATTAATCTATTCGGAAAGTTCGGCTGAAGCAATCAAGAAGTACCTTATCTTCCTGGTTGAATCATAAAAAATTGAGTATTAATTACAACAAATCAGCTTTCATGAAGAAATATCTTCCAAATGAATTGGAAAATCATATAATATTCAATAATGAAATCATTAGATATTCCACAGATATCAAGTTTCTTGGTTTAACAAAATTTATCATGGTCAAAACATATTGGAGAGATTAGAAAAAAATATATCACCAATTATAGGAGTACTTTACAGAATTAGACATGAAATTTCATTGAATTATCTGAAACTATTATTCCATAATTTATTCTAAAATTCAATATTTCATATATGTTTGGGCAACGGCTAGTTTATCAATTATAAAGCCACTTAGAATCCTTCAGAATGAAGTTGTCAAATGTATATATGAATTGGATTATTTGGAACCAACATGAAACCTTTATGAACCAAACGAAATATTAGATCTTCAATCAATATATAAATTCAAAATATTAACATTTGTTCATTCAGTCAAACACAATTATAAACATTCCAATATGAATTTTAATATTAATGCTAATATACATTCACATTCAACTAGACAAACAGACATGTTTTCTCTCATTAAAATCAAATCTGAATTTGGCGAGAGATCTATATATTACAATGGATTATTACTTTACAATGAATTGTCAACAAGACTTGAAAAAAATATCAATACCAAAAAATTCAAGAAAGAACTCAAAAAATCTTTATTCCTCTGAATTTTGTCATGTCATCCATATTGAGATCATAATGTAACATATCAATTATTTTGATCATTCACTCAAACAAGGATCAGCTCAAACTCTGAGAATTACTAGAATAAATGTTATACCTATAAACACTATATTTTAAATGTAATGTTATACATTATGGTTTATTTTTTAATGTTCCCTGTTATAAAAATATACGTCAATTGTTTCTTGGGAATAATAAAGAGGATGATGATGATAATGAATAAGTGCAGTTGATCCTTGTTTAAAGAGGTTTAAGACAAATTTCAACCAATCAACCATCAATTATTAGTACATAAAGTGAATCTACAAACAAAATTTATCACATTACATAGCAAAGGTCAACATAAGTGAAAAGTGATATGAAATTGTACAAGCAAAATCTGATTACAACCAAAGTGTTCTAATAATTATGAGGATTCGACAGCTCTTTATCAGTCGAGACGATTTTCTGTTTGGTGAAGTGAGTCATATACAGTGTCATTCATATAAAGTCGGCATGATATGAGGAAAACTGTTGATAATTTATTTTTAAATTCGACTTGAGCGTTGTTTTGCTTAAAAAAATTGCCTACTCAGTCGGAGTCACGTGACTTTCGCTACATGTCAAGACTTGCATTTTTGCAACGGTAATTTATTCGAATTTCAAAAATGGTTTATAAGAACAGTTGTTTCTAATCCTATTCTACACATTTCTCTCGAATTTGAACGTTCTATTACAACTTGACTGTCTTGATTTCTTCTAATTGTAACTAAACTTTGGTTAGATTCGTGAAGTAGGTTTATGATATTTTGATTGATGACTTTGGTACTTAAAAAATCAATTTAAATGAATGCTGCATCAAACATTACGAAAATTTGAAGCGGGTATTTCTGCAGATAATAAGTGATTGAAAGTTAGTAGCATGATAAAGCTTCTAGAATGAAATAGTTTTGTTTATTTTTTTTAATATCACAAACATTTCGTAGGAAAAATATCACAAACTTCAAGTTGTTAGGGGACGTTCAAATTCGAGAGACATGTAAAATTGGAATAGAAACAACATTTCTGAATTTTATGAATGTGACAATAAATTTTATGGACGTAAAAATTGAAATATTATTTCATAAAATATTGAGAAAAATGCCCAAATGAAAATGTCCTGCTGTGTAATGAATTGTGGGGATTCTGAAGAGGATGTATTTCATTCATTTAATTTTCCAAAGAAAATATCAACCATTCTGTTGTATGAAACGACCTGGATGGAAAATTGATTTGAATTGAAGCAACATTCGTGAGGTACATAGATTAAAATACAATTCTAATAACAGCAGATTAAAATGAAACTATATTTTAGGCTCATTTTCAAACAGAAGATTTTAAGATCCGTTTGAGAGAATCTGCAGTTCCATCTGTCTGAAGAAAAATCCATAACTATCATCACAGTACAAAATGCAAAACAAAATTATTATGAAGAAAGATAAAGTGATTGCAAAACTTCATTGAAATTGATTTGAGAACAAAACTGAGGAAATCAAGTAAATGGAATGGCGTTTTCAATACCGACCGAACTAGCTATAAGTAAGTATATCCATATGTGTCTATTTTGTCATATTGAAATGTTGTTACATGCATTCTTTTGAATTGAAGTGGGTGTTTTTTATACCCTATTTCTATATCCCATCTATGGCTAGCATTGATTTGACAAATATATCTAAGCTCTGAAATCGCATCTGACAGTCAGGAGCTATTGGCGGATTTCAAGTTCATCGTCTGACGTTGCGATGACGTTTAGCAATAGTTAAAACATTCCTAACTCTTGGCGTACATTGTGAGTCAGACATGTTTTCCCTATTACTAAATGTCATTGCAAAGTCATATGATGACCTCAAAATCCGCCAATTAAGGAAATTGAAAAAACAAGAAGCAGAATATATGTCTTATTCTATTATTCACTCAAACCACTGTAATATAGACAATAGAAAAGGACAGAAAAAAGACAACTATGAATATCCTCAAATCCTCTGACGAGTACAATCAACAGCAGATAGGTACCACCCACAATTACCCTAATATATCTTGCTGTTGACAAACGCTTTTTGAATTTTATCCGCATACAGCGGATGATTGGATATCACTGCGTGATATCCAATCAGGATCGGTTTTCCTATGTCCAATGTTCTCGAGTCTTTTCGAATTCAACCAGAAGTTGGTTCCGAATCTTAGCTTAGATGGCAGCAGCTCTCGGGTGTCGATTCAACATATGAGAAGTATTTTATTATCAGGATCGAGATGAACATAAAAGAAGATTTTTCGAAATTGATTGTCAATTTATGATCCTGTAACCATAATGTTATTAAAGCGAGATCTTGTTCCATTTGGTTTTTTATTTCTTGTATATTTTTTCCGTAATAAATGAGAGTTGTGTCATCGGCAAATAATTTTAAATGAACTACTTCACTCCACTTTGAGACAACATGGACTTCTACAGTAGGTTATACCTGTAATAGTTATCGGAATGCCGGTTCTTCGAGTTGTCGTTGTACTTGAACAGGTCCAAGAGGAACCGGATGACCTCGGGCGGACAGATGCCGTGCGTGTTGCGCAGCCCCGCCATGGCCAGCGGTATGTTCTTCTGCAGATAGTAGTGCTGGAAGTTCTGGAAGTTGTTCTGTCGGATGATGTGCGGGGCGGCGAACGAGCCGAAGAACTTCCGGAAGATGGCGAGCATCGCGGGCGGGCCTGCCCAATTGGACACCATGGCGTTGGCCACCTGGAATTTTTAATTGGAAAATCAGCAAGCATTCTCGAACCACAGTTGAAAGAATTGATATATCGGTTGCCGCACTTTGTCAAAAGTTCAAAACATCATTCCCATTACTCCGTCTGATCGGGCAGACTGCTAGCAGTAAGCCGACCGCCGTCCGTTGTATCGGGTCGCCCAGAAAATTGCATCGCATCGTTTGATAGCGCAGTATATAGTCCGGGTCGTAAAATATGACCAGCGGAAAGAATGTGAGCTGAGAGCACAATATAAATGTTGCGATCATAAACTCACTGTCAATTTAGTACTCCAAGTACTCGCTATAAATGGTGGTTGGCCGTGGGCCCACCATGCACTCACGGCAGCGAGAAGGGGTAGCCCGATTCCAGGCACCTCTGGTTAAAAGCTTGAGGTCCCCACCCTCGTCATGGTAGCGGTACGTGTGAAAGGCCGCGAACAGTCACCCATCAAACAGGACTGGAGGATTCTGGTCGACATGGGTAGCTGGGCTTGTTCAGCGAAAACTGGAACTTTGGTGTACCTTGTGCCTTAGTTCGACAGGGAGGCGGCAGACCCAAGCGATCCTACCGCCAGTCATGGTAGGCAAAGCCGGGTCCTCTCTTGTAAACGAGGTAGAGGAACGTGTAAAAGTCCTCGAACTATCACTCATTCAACGGGACGAGAGGATTCTTGTCAACATGAGTAGCAATCAGGCCAAAGCCTCTTGCGACGGCGACCCATCAAACGTATCAAGAGGAATCTTGTTGACATGGGTACCTGGGGTGATGAGGATAGCCCCATCGGGTCGTACATACGGCCTGATGCCACACCAATTGGGTTGGACTCTAGGGGGCAACGGTTTCCAAAAAACACCACCGGACTACGGTAGAGGAGGTGAAGAAGAATCCCACTATGTGTCAAGTGGGAGGATGTCTTGCCTGCCTCGTCGGGTGAGCAGCGTTTCTGCTCGAGCACTGACACTGCCGTTACACAATGGAGATGGCTCTAGCGCGCTTATTTCGGCGTATCCAAATCCTCCATTTCTCCCTGGGGTGTTGTCGGTATAAGTCGAAAGATAGGTGACCGGCAGTCATCCCATATGGGAGTCTTGTTATTATAAATGGTGGTATCAGTTCAAACATGCAGTCAGTCATATCGTTCGTGACTTGATGGAAGCATTCACGAAACCACAATTGGAAGAATTATCGCATCGTTTGATAGCGCAGTGTATAGTCCGGCTCGTAAAAGATCATCGGCGGGAAGAAAGTGAGCTCAGAGCACAATATAGATGTTGCGTTCATCAATTCACTGTCAATTAAAAAACGAAATCTTAAATGCTCGATAGAAATGGTGATATCAGTACAAACGTGCAGTCAGTCATATCGTTCGTGACTAGATGAAAGCATTCACGAAACCACAGTTGAAAGAATTAATATATCGGTTCCTACTCTCTGTCAAAAATTGAAAACATCATTTCCCTTGCTCCGTCTGCCCGGGCAGACTGCTAGCATGCCGACCGCCGTCCGTTGTATTGGGTCGCATCGCATCATTTGATAGCGCAGTGTATAGTCCGGCTTGTAAGAGATGACCGGCAGAAAGAATGTGAGCTCAGAGCACAATATAAATGTTGCGATCATCAACTCACTGTCGATTCAAGAACGAAATCCTGAGTGCTCGCTAGAAATGGTGGTATCAGTTCAAACGTGCAGTTAGTCATATCGTTCGTGACTCGATGAAAGCGACGTAATCTGCAAAACCGAGTTGTTTAGATACTCTAAGCACAGTGTACTGACGTCCTTATCATCTTTCTTCCGTCCCCGGTCTTCTTTTGCGAGTCGAGCTATACACGGTATCTCGGGATACATTTCAATTATTATTGTTTGTGACCAATTTTGTATTAAAATGGGAAATAAATATATTTGCACTAAAGTATTTTAATAATGCCGATGGTGCAAATTGTATAGATTCGATATAGACAAATTTTCAACAGTAACATCTCAAAAGACCATGACAAATAGCCGACTATTATTTTCTTAAAAATTTTATCGAGAGTACCTTGAGAATCTTGACAATTTGATGATACCATATGAGCTTCAATAATCTTAATAATTCTCGAGAGCTAAATCTCCAGGGAGGCAGATTGTCCCTGAAAGGTATGTACAAAATGATCCCATAGACTCCTGAGACCAAAGTGGGATAATTAAACCAAACTTACCTCTATACCAATATTTTTTCGTATATTTTGATATTATCTATAAATATCGTCCTAAAATTTTGTAGGCACACTAAAAGGACTATAATGTATCAAATACATATTTGGAGTACTGTTGATCGACAAATTGATAGAACTTTTTCTGAGTACGCTACTGAACAGATCTCAATATTGGTTTGCAAGTTAATTCACCAAATTCAATTTGAGGCATACCCGACATCTTCAGAATTGGTCATTTAATTATGGTAGGTTCGTACTTAATTTATTTTCGTATGAAATCATCAATCATATCAATGATATTCAATGTACGTGTGGCACACATTTCTCCACGAATTCAAAAGATAAGATGTTGCATAAAAATTAAAATTAAAATTCAATTCCGACGCCCTGTTGCAGCTGAACGAACCAGCGTTTTGGTATAGAAGTGCATTTGGTTCAATTATCTCACTTTGGGTCTCAGGAGTTCTATGGTATGGTTCTGTACAGGGAAACCCTGATGGTCGAATTGAATTATCTTAAACAAGTTACTTGAGATGATTTCAAGAAAATAATTATCTTCGTCATCATGGTCCAGTCAAATTTAGGAAGATCATTTCAGAATCAGAATTCAGTTTTTCTACTGACAAAAAGGCAAATAGTTTCCAGCAGACATACTATCTATTCTTCATGATATTTCCTGATATTGATTTGCTCATAATCACCGTGATGGAAGTTGACCCAAAATAAGACATTTTAATTTTTCAGTAATAAAACTTAGAAACTTATACAATGGAACAGAATAGTAGCTGTTTTTTTTTTGTTAACCTGAATAGCTGCTAATGACTTCAATCATGCAATTTCATTGGTGCAGTTATGTGTGAATGAAATAATCATCATCAAGATCAGGATGTTCTGAATATTCGAGATAATTTTGTCGCTTCCTTGTTACAAAAACTATCTGTAGACACCCATTTACAAGTGCGAGTACAAGCACGAGTACAATGACTGGTGAGTTTCATCAATATTCTCTAATCTTTTTGTGAATGAAAAAGTATACATCCTCTTCTATGAGCAGAAGGTTGCTAGGGCGTAACTTCCAGAGAAATTAACATGCCAATAAATTTTCCAATTCAATTGTTCCTGTTGTATTGATGACGATTTTTGTTTTTCCAATGAGGAGAGACCGAGCCAAATATCTAGATTTCCCTAAATGAATTCCCATTCCAACACAACAAAAAATCGGATTAAAACGCGCCGGCCGTTTAATGAGTCGGGGAAAATCGATGATTCACTTTTCAGTGAGATACACAGCGTCGCCGTCTCAACCGATTCTCTAGAATTGACTGATTTCAACAATGTCATGAGTGAACTGAGGAAGACAGTTTAAAACTCACTTGTTCTCATTTTCTTTATAACTGGATTGTGACATATTACATAGATATTTGAGTGATGTCATTAGAATTTGAGGTTCATTGAAATGGCGAGTATATAAACGTATGATTCAAGATTAGACTGAATTTTTCCGATGTTGATTGAACCTTCAATGTGCTACAACCTACTCGATTAGAATTCATGTCAACTATAAACTTATAGAACTGGCAATGGAGTTGAAACCTATATTAGTGAGATTTACTAGATCAAGGAATATCAAATCATCTCGACAGTTCACAGTTGAATCGATTCGAAAATTGAGATATATTTACTTGATATTTCCACAAAATAAAATAACTGGCAATACAGGAAAATGGATTATGACGTCAGTACTGATGGATAAACGAGTTTGTCGCCGAATGCATTCCATGAAATTATCAGGTATTCAAATGGTGTTTTTGGAAGTATTACAGCATATTTTATCTTAAAACAATAACAAAAGCAATAATGGCGGCACAAAAATACTGAGAGCTGACTTGAGAACTTGACATTATCTAACTAATTGCCATCTATCGGATTGGAAGCTTCACTATTTCAGTCGGCCATGACATTTTCGGTACGGGACATGAGATTTCATTCCATTTGATGGGAGTTTTCTAAGCTTTAGAGGCTAGAAGCTTCTGTTGGCCACTTACCTTTGTGAGACAGTGTGCAGCTCTACACCTGACCTTGTAGTAGCACTGCTCATTCTCGATGGTATCAGTGAGCGCCAGCCTAGTCTGTGGCGTGGGATACCTCTCCAGAGCGACGATGGCCTCCATCTGAGCTGTCACGTCTCTTTCGTGCCTCAGCTGGTACTGCCATTGGTAATCGGGCTGTTCAATTACCACAGAACGTAAAAGAGTCATTTCCGGGTCGAGTCTCATCCACAGAACGGGGGAGTCACTAAGAAAAATCGAGAAAAAAAACCTGTCATGTTTGTTGTTTATGAGTCAGTACGAAAATAAAGAGAAAACCATCATTTAAATGAATTTGAAAACAGTACAGGAGCTACGAAATATTCAACTCGGAACTCGAATTCCTCTAGGTTATCAGCATTTGCTGCAGTGTTGAAGTCTTTTCATATGCATACAAAAACAATATTATCGTATTTGAATGATCTGGTACATGAGTGACTACAGCTCTAGATATAAAATGAAATAATTAATGAAGTTTTGAGGACGTTATTATTGAACTGACACTAGCTGTTGATAACGTGTTATACCGATAAACCTCAATAGTGACCAGCCAATGAGCAATGCATAGAGCTCTGAGGAGAAAACCATTTATGATAAAGAACACGTGCGGGTTTTTACTTCAAAACAATGTGTCAATGAAATATACCGAATCATTTGAATAACATTGTCGAAAAAAATATCAAAATCTACAGATGTCTTACTCCATCGATGTCAAATCCATATCCACTTCTTCTCCCGTGCACAGGGGAATTTTCTTCTTCTTGTTCCTCCTGCTTTTCGAATGGCAGGTTATGTCGGCCTTCACAACGGTGTTTTCTATCTGCAAGTTGTGTTTGAATGTGCCGTCCAGTTCCTGAAGGGTGACCAGAAGGGGACCGACGTACTTTCTGATACCGAGCGATGTCGTAGCATCTTGTCGTATTTCGAGTTCAATAGTATTTCTAAAAGGTAGAAATGATTCAGATCGATGGTACATACCGGGTCTTTAACAATGATTGAATACCACGTGACCAAATTCGTATGCAACCAACAATACATTTTTGTTATCATGTTTACTCAGGTAACAATCACAATATATATCATAGTGATATTCTTTTATTCTGAACTAACTGACACATTTCACTTGAGCTGAACTGAATCAGTTGACATGCATTGTACATAATGAACGTCATTCGACAGAACGATTCAGTTCAGTTCTAGTGGAATATTTCAGTTAGTTCAGATTGAAAGAATATTACTTATATTTGCACTTTAGATCATTCATTGCTATAATTTCTTTTGTTTACGTTCTGTCGTTCACGTCCTTCGCAATTTGATTGGCATGTTAACTTGTCAACTGTCATAGCAGCCAATAGCTTGCCTTGTTTACAGACATTAAAAACAGGAAAGTTGGATTGCGAATCAATATACTAGTGTTTTCCAAATTTATACTGCACATCTGTAGCTCTAGAACCCAGTTGCTCTTTGTTGTCTGTTTTCTCGTGATATATTTTCCAACCACAGACTTCATATCATACATCATTTTGAAACAAAACACTGTATCTGCAAAGGAACATCATCTGGTACACCAACTCTTCTTTCCGAAAGTGGTCTTCATGATATTGAGAATCGTATGGTGGAAAGTCCTAATAAGTCTGTCTCAAAGTTAACACAAGAAACAGGTAGAAAACTGATTAGTAAGTGAAGTTTCCATGAATATAATGTAATATATGCCCGCTTTCTCAGGTCTTTCTGTAGGAACTTGTCATAAGGCACTGAAGGAAAATCCCCAAATACATCCCTACAAGATAACTGCTGTACAAGAACTGGAACTACTTAATTTTGAAAGGAGGCTCCGATTTTCACTGATGAAGCCTGGTTCTACCTAACAGGGTACATCAACAGTCGAAATTACCGTACTGGAGCTACAGAAAAATCAGAGTCAATCCTACATCCTATGAAAATTGGAGCTTGGATGGCATTTTCTAGAAGAAAAAGCATAGGGCCATATGATGTCCATAAAGGATTTCAACCACCTCGACGAATAAATGAATAAAAAAACACCATGTCTTTGCCGGTCGTGAACACGTTTGTGCTGATGAGCAAACTTTATTTATCCCGTTTTTGTTTGTCTCTTCATCCAAATTTGAGTTTCATATTGTGAAAAAAGATATTTGGATACGTATTCGGTTTTCATAATTGTCTTATTGTTTGTTCTTCGGTGACTTCTTATTTAAACAATAAGGATACTATGTACAGTATATTACATTTGATATATACTTATTCACATGATTTATCATTAATTTATAACTCATCGTTACAACAACGTTTTTTTCCCAACTCCGGTATCATCACGAATCACCATCTGTTCTGTCGAACTGTCAATGTCTAATTCATAAAACGCACTTGTCAAACACAAGTTCATAGAATTGGCAGTGTTGCCATAATATACTGAATACTGAAGTATATCTTACCACAATAATGAACTCAATACTACGAAAGCGCTGAACGGTGTAGCATTTCAAATGCTACCTGATGAATTTCTTTGTATAAGGAGATAATCGTACATTTTGGGAATTGTGGCAACGTTGTTTCTAGACCAGGAAAAATATTCTATCTTCACAATGTTGGTTGCCTAGTTTTCATGGTAGAGTTCCAACAGATGTGATATGGAGAGATAAAGAAGTAGGGGACAGGTGCGCAGAAATTTGAAGATCGGGTGAGGAGAATCGGTGCGGACAGCAAGCAAAGACTGAGAAAAGTGAGCTTGTCTTGAATTCTCCATTTTTCATTTTTTTTTCGGCTTTTAATTCCCTACCGTATATGTACGGGATTTGTTTGGAAACGCTTATCAGTCGAAATAATCAACCCATCAATCGGTTGTGTTAGTTCAGCTCCCAACAGTTGGGGTAAGTTGTAATTTTTTTTACCATCAAGAACCCGGCGAAATTTACTAGTTAGTATTTAGCTTTTCACTTTTAGAAATCTCTAATTAGGTAAATCAGGGATATTTTCTCCTTTTAGAGTCTAACTAGGAGTTAAAACTCCCCAGTCAGTCAGTTCGTGAAATCATAACCGGCAAGTACAAAATTTGCCGTACCAGGAGCTGTTTTTGGTACCATTTACATAAGCGAGAAAGGTCACTTTGAATAACATCGTTATTCGTTCATACCAATTCCATCCAGGAGTATTGAGCCATTAGACCCAGAATCGCCCACCAGGAAAAGGACGACACATCAAACATAAGGCCAGATCATTTTTATTACATAATTATTTTTGTTTATTCTTAGCAAAGCACTATATAAATACTGTAAAGGGGTCAAATTTCAATTTCAAGCAAATATTGATCAGGTGATGATTGCATCTAATTTCCTTTAATTCTATATGGTTAATATATAATATTTTTGAAGCCCTTCATTGTGAAGCCAAACACAGACTGTGCGAAGCCCCAAAATCTTCATATATAGGCAGAATATTTATAATTGGTAAATTATAAAATAGTTATATAGATGCAACCACCAACTTATAGTAGGTGTGAAAATATACTTCATTAAGGGAACATCTAACTTGAGTTTGTGCAGATGCTATAATAATTATTATCATTGAAGTTATTTGATTTGGTATATCTACATTATTCGGCGATCATTAATGGTGAATAGAAATCATTGTTTTCTACCCCGACTTGAACTAAAATAAATGTTAATTGTGGCTGAATATGATTTTTTATCTTCCTCACAAACAGTCTCAGATACTTGTTCAGTAAATGATAAATTCGGTTTCTTAGTTTACGAATTTTTTTATTAATCTTAAACTAGGTGGCGCCCTCCAAAACTTGAAATTCGAAATCATTACATTTTAGTATATTATTATTCAAATACCCCGACCCATTAACTGCTCACAAGATCACAGGAGTACCGGCATTGTGCCTATTTTTTTTTTAAATCCTTCACTATCAAATTGAACTAAATCTAATCTAATATAAAAAAGAAAAAGGCTACAAAAGTGGCGTCTCAACGTGGCTGGCCCGAAAATTTTGAATAAATCAAAACGTAACACTCACTTTGAAGATTTGAATTTCAAGTTACCTTTTTAAAATAAATTATTATGTGTCCCAGGTGAGAGTGGATGTTGTTTTGTGTTCTTATCTTATAAGAACTTTTTTTAGTCAAACAGAACTGTTTGTGAGGAGATAATTTTTTTTCGGTTATAGTTTATTCACAATGGCCTTTCTCGTTTGGAATTTCTAGTTTTTGTGACTTTTCACACTTAGTCATATCTTGTTGAAAGGGAGTTTCGCAACGTTGTCAGATATATTTCGGAATTTATCACGTAGAAATATCAGGCAGGTTTGTTTATCGATATTTCTTCGATCACATTGATTTTCAGAAAGTTTGTGTAATACTTCGAAACTATAGCGTTCCACGCCTAGATAACAGGTATCTGATTCGTGTATTTTGTTTTTGTTGGAACTTGATTTTGGATAGATAGGAAGCCAATTTGTTTTTTTTGTCACTTAGTTGACCCGGTACCTTTTTATAAGATGGAGGAAACATTCAAACCCAACCATCTATTGCAAGAGGAACTGGATTATGAGTTGAGAATTCGGTCGGTAATTTCAAACAAAAATCAATCTGAAAAAAGGAAAATTTTACATCGTTTACTAGAAAAAGAACGTGCCAAGCCAGGCTGCTTGATTAATTTCGCTAATTATACCTGGGATATTCCCTATGAACAATCATCAATAGAGAGTACTTTAACTTCCATTACTGGTCTTATAATAGATTTTGAAGGTGATACCTCTGATTCTCTATTTATACGAGCAAAGTCAAGATTAGCTCATATCCAAGGACGTATCAAGAGAATTCCTATAGGCGAAGAGGAATCTGAGGAATCTCGTGATCTTCTAAATTTTAAGAACGAATCATACGCCACTTGCTTAGCGCTAGAGGCTGATTTATATGAGAAAGCTGAACAAGCATCTAGGCTCAACATTTCTAATAATAATTTTCCTATAAACCCTCCGGCGTGTGTTCCTCCTCCTGTTGTGACTTATAGTGGTAGTCCAAGAACTAAACCTCTCGCGGAGTGGGGAGTGAAATTCAGTGGAGATTCGCAAACCTTGTATCCCTTTCTAGAAAGAATAACCGATTTAGCTAGATCTCGTAATGTTGATAACAAGGAGTTATTTAACTCAGCGGTGGAACTTTTTACAGGTGATGCTTTTATTTGGTATCGCAGTATACAAAATAAAGTAACGGATTGGGATTCTTTGATGCTTAGGTTAAAAAGAGATTTTTTACCGCCTGATATGGATGACGAGATTTGGGAAGAGGTGAAAACAAGGAAGCAGAAAAAGAATGAGCGCGTTATGATCTATATAGCCCACATGGAAAATTTATTCAATAGGTTAAGTCGACCACCACATGAAAGTACCAAAGTCAAACACATCAAAGCAAATTTATTAGCAGATTATATTAGTCATTTGGCCTTACAAGACATAGCTACAGTCGAACAACTATCGAACATAGTGAGAAAATTAGAGGATGCTAATGTTATTAAGAAAAATGTATCTATGCTTCAGACAAAGAATAAATATTCTGAATCTAATGAATATAGTAGGACTCCACCAGTTCCCAATAATAATAGGTTTAGGGGTAATAGAAGAAATTTTCAACCTAGAAATACGAATTCAAATATGAATACATTTTCGCGGCCTGCAACCTCCAATGTTCAGCAAAATGATGTAAGACCCAGCACGTCTAGAAGAGATCCAAACAATTCCGTTGAGCCTTCTCTTGATACAGGAGGTCCAATACAATGTTGGAATTGCTCCGGTGTAAATCATATTTACAAACATTGTACTTTGAAAAGAAAATTGTTTTGTCACCGTTGTGGTACTCCTAATTGTAAAGTTACAGATTGTAAGAATTGTGAAAAAAACGATTAGGTGGAAAGCATTACA